TATTCAATTCTTGTCCTAGACAAATGAACAATGGAAAATAAAAGAATAATGAAATCTCATTGATGTTGGGTAAATATCAAAACTACTTTATTTTATAAGTAGAGAATTTCATTTGATCGAAATGTGAGACAAGGAAATAAAATAATTAGTTTAAACCCTTAACTCTATTTAGTATATGATTATTCTTGTCCTTATTTTCATCATACTKTTTTCAATGTCCATTGCTGCACTTTCCATAAGTTCATCCCAAGAAGAAACCTTACTKACACGTGGRTGGACTAAKCTTGGACSGAAAACAAGGGCAGAAGTACAAGAGTGGGGARATTGTTGTGGTTTTAAAAGTATGAACGCAACTGGAGATTTGARACATCCACCTTGTGACAATGTGAAGGTAATTTATCTTTCAGCAGTAACTTATGTTTTTGATCCTTGTTTCTTGTTTGATTATAATTTGTTTTTGTCTATCTTCCTTGTTTTGTTTCAAAAACTCAGGCATTCAGCTTAAATGATTGCAGTGAAAACATCTGTCTTGTATTAGCATGTAATATAGTAGAGATGGCAATACCAGGCTTGATTTGAGAAGATTAGAATCTCTTTTTTATATAGCTTGTAAAAGTATAAAATAATGAAAATCTTATATGAAATAGACCACTTTCATAAGTGCCTACCATCAATTTCATACAATTGAAAATACTATGCAAACATTCCACACTGTCCTATGGAAGAACTGTTAGAATTAAGTATTTCTGGAAAGTTTGGAAGCTATGGACCAAATACTAAGTTATGGAGGAATAAAAATACAGGGGTTTGTATGGAATTTTTGGCTGAGGCCTTTGTAGCCTCGTTTTGGTGTTTTTGTGCATCTTCTTACTGTTATAACTTCAAGACGATTTAATATTTTTTAATATTTTTTTTAATCTGGCATTCAATCAATCTAATAAATGTGTTTATTTTGTATTTCAGTGTTTTAAAACTCATGATTGTTCAACATGTTTTGAATATCTTAAAACCCATGGCCTTGAAGACTTGAAGAAAGCCATTGGTGGCGTTGGACTCTTCTTTAGTTTTACATTGGTATGTGTTTACAATTTATTACTCTATTGAAGAYTTTCGCATACTACTAAGTATGTGAGATGAGTTTTAGTAAACTAACTGGATGGGAAATTCTAGGGGGAGGGTGCAAGGGTACGTACTCCTCAGACCCCTTTATAAAGATCACTATATTTTCAAGTCTTATATGAGAATATTTATTTAGTGCGCTCCCTCCTTAAAATCTTAAATCCCAGAGGAAGGACCTTGTGGACCTATAGGTTGTTGCCTTGTTTACATGTATCAATATTAACCTATTTTGCATTAGACACAAACAAAATAAGTAAYTATTGGGAAACCATATATTGTACTTGTCTAGATAATGGTTGAATAGTTTAAAATGAATTGAATGGCAAATTTACAAGAGTTAATGGTATATGGATGTTGGTTGGCAATGTCTTGCCCWCCAGTGAATATGCTCAAAGTAAATTTGTTACTATTGTGTAAGCAACTCTTTGTCATGACACACCCACYATGAGTAGGMAGGGGGTGYTTATTTTATGGAAGGCCATTTTTCATCGTAAGYTGAGGTACAGAGACAATGAAGTRCCAGTCCAGTGTAGGAATCATATTCAACCTGTGTGCCTCTTTATACWAGCTAAGAACAAGAATGAGAAAAAAGAAGGAAAACAGAGTAAAAGAGTAAAAATTGAATGGAAGAACAAAGAGAGAAAAGAAAACAAACAAGAAATTGAATTCCTATTCTGTTTATCAGTTTGTAGGAGTATATCTTGCCTTCAAGTTCAGGCATCTGAAAGATCCAAGAGCAAATCCTGGTGCATTTTTGTAGCTTAGCAATTGAAAGACTTTCTTGAATACAGAGCCGACAAGAAYTGATGATTTCATTGAACATTGCCTTTAAAAATGAAATTACAATCTAWATGCTTTCTTTTAAAAATAAACTTTAACTAATATGCAAATTAAAAAGCGTCGCCTYAAGATKCTCCAAGTTGCTGGGTCAAAAGAGCTTGGAAGCTAAATCAGACTGGAGATGGAACAATGCCGTTGTGYRAAGAACGACAGATCATAGTTAACCATGGACAGATATTACAGTTTGAATCCCTGTTCTATTTTCGTATCTTATCGAGTGGTTTTCATGAAATATAAAAGTAGTATTTGTAGTAGTCGATACACAACGCAGTTATTTTTATTCGTTTAGTATGCTTACGKTTCAATCCGTGAAACATTAAGTGCTGKTAATAAACCCGTGAAMAGTGATCAGTGCTACTCKTGGATTTAGCGCGGTACTATTAAACCCAATGAAGTAAAAAACACTTGAAATAGGTATTATACTAATGCAACTTAGTACGCTTTATAATTAAAAAAAGAAAAAGATCATAAATATAATCATTATTAAATCAATGCTTTTTCATGCTGTGTGAAAACCTGGCATAACATAACGTCCTCGTATCATCTACTAAGGAATCTAGAGAGATTCCAATACGAGGGCAAGTCGTCCATGTTTAACGTGTTAGAAAACTAGCGATTTTGACCAGTGAGTGATATCCTACACATCTGTATCACCAATGTGATCCCTGCTGGTTTATTACAATAAAAGAACAAAATGATATCATTATTGTTGCTTTTATAGTTTAAAAATCGATAGATATCTAACTATAAACATTCATTTCTAATTAAAACCTGGAATTTCAATTGGCTTTGTTTAAAAAAAAAAACCATTAACGTTAAATATTGATTACATAGTCTTGGAAGCACTGAAAGCTTGATGTGTCCTTACATGGTATGAAATGACGCACTCTGCTTCGCATGATCGGCCAAAAATAGTCKCCCTTTTTGCAGCCTAGTATTCTTAGGGCTTCCTGTGTTCTAGAGAGGGCACAGGAAGCCCGGAGACAGAGCAAAATTCTTTGGAATCAATCGCGTCCCTACAGGAAGCCACACACAAGTATCTCTCKTCTCCTTTATCTTTTTAAAATCCTTTGCCCCTCTAGGGAATTGTTCGCGGAAATTGTAGGCATAAATTGAAAAAAATATGCTTGAGGCTATGGTCTCTTTTATTAGTTTACTTTACAGTAGTTATTGAAACATTAAGGATATAATTATGTATGTGTAAACTGTATAAATACAGATAATATAATAACAAATTATATATACATCAAATCAATTTTTAAATGCAGCAGAACCAAAATTTGAAGAATTCTGGCGTATGAATTAACATTTTCCTTTATTGAATGCCGTTAGTTAAAAGAATTCCACAAATAACAGATATGGAATATTAATTGTTTTGTACCAAGCGAAAATGGCATTATGATGATTCGAATTACATGTATGTTGGTTACATTGTCAAACGCATTCAATTTTCAAATTGCAATATCGAATAATCGGCAATATAATGCAATACTGAATTATATAAAGATATAAATTATTTGTTTCTCTTTGACTCCATCTCTTCTCCCTCACCGTATGAGATGATGGAATCGTTTTAAAAACTGTTTTAAGTAATGATAATATTACATTGTAAGCTTTTTTTTTCTACAAAGTTATTTACAAGAAAACCAATATCATTTCATTTTTCTCGTAAGCTTGCTTAGCATATRTCGAATCCGATTTTTCTGATTTTGACACAAGCTTCCCGAATACATCTGTCWAATTCGGAGATGGAGTAAAAACTAGCGAAATAAATAATCGCCGGTTAGCGAGAAAAAGGRCTGTCGCTAGTGAGAAAGTTTTTCATTTTATTTACAATGAAGAGTTTACGAGAAAAAATGACACCAATAACAGACCAAACGCAATTCTAGCAACAGAACTGCCRGAGGTAGATCCACGAGTTGATGTGGGTGATTTACAATGGGAATTCTTACGAAGTTTAGGGAAATATTTATTCCAGAAAGCCACATTGCTACGGTGAAAGTTAGACTCGATGCTTGGATGTGCAGTGATGTTTATATATGCGTGATGGAAAGCACTGAACCGAGGCAGAACGCAGCCTCTTAAGGGCTGAGGAGTTGGATTATGGGTACGTGCGAAGTTTGTGAAAAGGGTTATGATGATTTGACTGACATTTCTGTCTTGCTCATCGTAATCTTGTAGGATATTCAAATTCATCAAGGGAAAGCCAAATTCATAGGGCGTGTCATCTTTGTGTGCCGCGCCTTTCCAAGAAGGCTTGGCGCTTAGCTTGGACTGATAACTAAAGACAAATAGGTATCCTGAAGCAACTGTGGAATGATGCTCAAGTACTGCATGTGCAGGAGCTGTGAAACTGTAGTCAGATATCAGATCAATCAAACCCTTTCTAAGTTTGTCCTCATTGYTGCTATCAGGCCATGGTGTGTACTGGAATGCTAAAGCTTCTTCGAGGGCTAGTGAAAATGCAATGGGCTCGTGTGGCCGCTCGAAAGCATTTAGAAACATGTCGTACGTGTTGAAAGATGCCTTCGGGAARGGTGTCACWGGGAGTGCATAGTAACTCGAATTTCTGAGAAAAAATGACCCTTCATCGGACGTTACGCCGACAAGTACCGGGTAAGGATGAAACTTCTTAGCCTTCCTGAGATTCTTGGGTGTATCATGCAAAAAACTCCCATCCACAACTGGTCTCCAGACATTGGCATCAGTTTTCGTCAAATTGTGTATTTCACTTGCCTTTATTTGTCGCATACATTTTATTAATTTTTCGTTGTTTTGAGTTGGACAAGATAATTTTCTGGCCGTTTTCAACGTGATTCTCAATGCTTGCTTATGTGTATTCACGGCAAATGGAGACAAATCACTTCCACTGATGGGAATTGCGCTGTGGAAAAGGTCTTTTGATAGTGGTGACAGCAGATGCAGTCCAACACTCGCGCCTCCAGCACTTTCTCCAAATATTGTAACCCTCGATGGATCTCCTTTAAACACTCGAATATTTTYCTTGATCCACTTTAGAGATTCGATTTGGTCCAGCATTCCATAGTTCCCAGGAGAAGTTGAATCCCCTGTGCTTAAGAATCCAAAAGGCCCGAGGCGATATTGGATAGTAACGAGAACAACATCCCACAATGGTACAACATCGCCAGGAGTAATAGCTGGAGAACCTGCTTCGTASCCTCCGCCATGAATGTAAACCATTACAGGGTAGAYTATCCTTGCACTAGTATTTGGAGTGTATATGTTCAGGTAGAGACAGTCGTCACTTTGCTCCGGCAGTGAGGCATCCTTTGACCAAAACATAAGATTGTAACTTGGGTCTTGATAGCACAACGGTTTAAATTTTGTCGCATCGCGAACGCCTTTCCATTTCTCTGGCTTCACTGGAGGACGAAAGCGTAAATCACCAATCGGAGGGGCGGCAAAAGGCACACCAAGAAATTTGTTGACTTTCGATACATTCCCCAAACCAATGGATTTATCAAAGTCTCGTGAAACACCTCGAAGCTTGCCATAATCTGTAGATACCACAACAGATTCTAGGCAACTTGTGAACCAAGGCTGACAAACGAGCAACAATAAATAGAACTTCATTGTCGATTCTTAAACGCCTACACAAATAACAAATTGGTTGTGGATTTCTAGAGTGGGAACAAGTATCCGCTTTCTTTCGACGCTACGCAGTATCACACAGCAGCAAAGGTCATGATCGATATAAGCAAATGACTAGTGGAACAACAATAAGTACTGCAGGTTACCAGAACAAATGAGCTTCAATCCAGCAATCACTGCTAATATGGAACAAAATGAAATCATTCTTTGTTGGCTGTGATGTAAACATTGCCCGGATGTTCAGTGATTAGATTGCTAAGTGTGCGATTATTACACTTCGCTAATAGACCAGTCAAGATTCGGTGTGATGTAAAGATATACTAGTCCTCATTAGTTAGGCCAAGAACATCACATTTCAAAGAAAATATAAAGAAATCCCCTGGTGTGCCCTTAGTCAGTTTGTCAATGACTCTTTGCTGTAGAGCTGCTCACTACCTATGGGTGTGTCCTTGATCACGTCAATTAGTTTTCTAGAAGAAAAATCAGAATATTAATGCTTTCTTGCTCATTTGAAAAAAGAAAAAAATGCTGCCCATGGCTTTGATTGAAATAATTCCTTTCATAATWTTAATTTCGATCAAGTATAGCGTACTTCTTGCGGTGACCTTTCGATAATGTTTGCATCAAAGCAGAATGACCAAAGATCAGTCCCAAGTGCTATGTAATTATATCAAAAAACCTGCTAAAAGGCCTTGGCAAGAGTTCTTCAAACCGCCAAGAGAGCGTCTTACGTTTTGAATTGGTTTCCAATTTCACAGGCAATTATGTTCGAGAGTGTAGCATCGCCTTTAAAAGTATAATTAGAGTGCCGCAAGGAAACTCACTTTCATCGTAAAGTAACAAATCGTCTCCGACATCTTTTGAAACAGTCTTGCACAGTTTTGCTTCTTGTTTCATGAACAGATTTTGAGGAAAGAGCTCGTTGTTGGGATTTTTTCTCCTCGGTCGTAAAAACGTTTAACTTTAGCGTTAACGACTTCTCGCCTCTCAAATTAATTTGCAGGTCATGTTTATTCAACGACTTAAGAATTCCTTAAATGCATTTAAATTTGCTTTCAAAATCTCGTGATGAAATTGAAGTAATTAAATAGATTTTTTCAGTGATAACAGAAACCTTTATTGTAGCTATACAAACATAGAGGTCTGTTTGCATTGAAAGCGAACCGTTCTCTGATTGTAGTATTTTCACACTTTGCCCAACACTTTGTTTGTTGTCTTTTGTGATAATCGCATCATAATGCAAGCTTATCCTCTTCAAAAAAGGATACTTTGAAACCCTAATGCAGTCATTCTTGGGGGTTATCAACTTCTGGACTCATCATGTTTAGATACAAAATAAAGATCCGCTGGTGGAAATTGAGACCTAAATTGCATTCACGCAAAACTGGACAACAGAGCGATAATTGAAAACATCCAACATGATTCCTACTGTTTTTCCACATTGCTATTATCGCTTCTGATCCACTTGCCTTTAGTCAGCTCAYGTCCAAAACTGTATAACATATTAACCCAGAAAAAGGGGGTTWYCGTACCAAAATAAACCCATAACACCACTAGGCTAGTCACTAYGTACATTTCTTGGGGATATTTSTGTCAATTATAACTTTAAAAGTCTCAATACAGCATTTAAACTACTTGCGTTTTGAAAATTTCATCTGTTCATTCTATTAAGGTTAATTGTCACCATAGGTGGCTCTAGAAAACATATTTTCTTTACAGATATTTGGCTTCTTGTCAGTGACCTCAAGCAGAGCTTGCTTTCCGGTAGATTGACTTATTTACAGAGATCTAGCAGAACATGGSTAGTGTTAGCTTAGGGTTGAGATAACCCTGACATTTCGCTGTGGACATACACATCATGATGGCCACGATTGTGATGTCTTCGTTGTGTTTCTTTTGTCAATAGCTTCAAAAAACTCAATTTGGATGACATCTCTCTTTGTGCATCTCACATTTCTCTCATCTTTCTATTTTTTCTTTAGTCATTTCTCTCCTAGCTGTCATTCTCACTTCTCATCTTTCTTTTCGTTTTTTTTCTTTCATATTTCAATTTTGAAAATAGGCTTTCAAATTTGCTAGAAATCTTCGCTAATTACAACAAACAGAAGGTCCTGATTCAAAATGAGTTCAGTTCAAAGGAAAGTCGTAGAAAATGACACTGTTCATTATCTCTCTCATAACAAAAACACATCTTATCGGAAGTGACCACACTTCATAAAAAGTCATTAAAAATATTTGAATATTTGAAATGAAAATTTGATTACCTACTTCCTCGAATTTTTGGTTGGCTTCCTTGAGTAATTAAACTAAGCCTGCCATGCAATTCTCTTTCTACGAGCCACAGTGATGATAATTCCCAGGCATGTGTTCCGCAAGATCTCATACGCATGTTATTTCTTTCGCCAATTTGGAATCAATAACTGAAGCGCTTTCAGCGCATATTTGACTTATTACTCAGTTACATTTTTCAGAATTAAAAAACACAAATCCGGCATCCTGATTATTGTTTCACTTTTGTTTCATGTATTTTATTTCCTCTTCCACGGAGCCTTTTTCAGTGTGAAGAACTTGCTGGTTTAACGTCATCAGGTCGAGTTAATTACATATTGCAAACTCATGCTGATCATCATCCATATTTCCTTTGATGGTCAATTCAATCTTTTTCATCAAAGTCATTAAGAGAATCGATAAACAATTARTAAAGACAAACGAAATGTTGCTTTGGGTGCAGTGGTTTGTTCCTTTGCCTTGGGCMAACGGAAGAAGCTCTATTCACAATCTTTCATACAATCGAGGGTTCTCGTGAGTTCGCATAAAACTCCAGCGGAGTGTTTTTCCACAAGAAACGAGATCTTACKACGCAGATGTGGAAATAATCACGACAAATATTCAATAACTCAAAAATAGAATTATTTGAGCTGTATTCCTTACTGAATTTTCTTGTTCTTTTGTATTTGCGGTCTTTACCGGTACTCACTCTTAACCGCTTATGCATGCAAAACAAGTGCTTAATAGTCATACAACGAGAGAATCAATATTAGTTGAAGGAGAAGAGTGAATTAAGAAGGACGTTTAATGAAACTATGTATGAAAACAATTAAATCCATTTAAAGCTATTTTCTGTGGACTAGGTGGCCGGAGATATTAACTATCACATTCATTGCCAGTCCGTCCGGGTGTTAGAGGTTAAGAGAAAAGTATTAGATAAATTAAAGGTAAAAGTCCTTTGTATACAACTAGTGCAAATGTTTGCTAGTATGGATGAAGAACTACAGTCAGTTCAGTTATTCTTTTCTGTTTTTCTTGCGACTCCTCCTTTTTTCTTCCTTTAAGATTAATTTATCAGTGTTCTTTCTCATTCTTAGTCCATCGCTGTCATATTTGAACTTTTATGTATTTTTTACTGAGCCACAATGGGGTGTAGTACTGACAGAAATCGCATGCGATCTTCCAGTCATAAGCCGAATATTTCTAAAGTTCCATGCACGAAACGGCATATGCATTTTAGATTTATATAAAATAAGATCAATAGAATCACACTATGATTCGCAAAAACACACTTTTGACTTAAGAATTGTCGGTTTTTGAAATATGTGATATGAGGAATATTCAAAAGCATCCAATGTGCAATATCTGTATATCTTCTCTCCAAAATTTTTTTAAGGACAACCACCAACTATGGCGAATTTCACCAAAACAACATGACGTTGGCATAACGTTAATGATGAATTGACTGGTCGGTCGGACGGTCGTTTCTATGATGCACTTCGCCAAAACAAACATGACGTTGGCATAACGTTGATGATGAATTGACTGGTTGGTCGGTCGGTCTGTTGGTCGGTCGGGTGAGTTGAAAAATTGGTTTGTTAATGGTCAAGTATGATTGCATGGCTTGTTGTCCATTTGAATGAGTAGTTGTTGGTTGATAAGAGTTTTTTTTTTTGTCAGAATTATATATGATTTATTCAAATATATATTTTTGCGATATAAAGTTACAAATCACATAAAACTCAATTATGACTGCATTTTTTGATTAACAATCTTCTTCCAACGCTTCTTTTTTTCTTTCTTTTTCAAAGATTTCAGTTCTGCCATTACACTTTTGTCGCTGAAAATTCAAACAACTCAAATGTTTAATGCAGTCGGAATTATCTCAAGATTGAAAACAAGAGGGAGGGGATGCACGAGTATTCGCGACCAGATTATCATTTCTGTTCATTGAATGGTGACTAACACATCGCTGATTCGTTTACTAGTGAAATGTTTCACGATGCTATGATGGATGTACTTTTATTTAACAAGACCTCAGCGTATATATAGGTTGGCGCTATTAAACCAGGGCAAATAATTAATAAAGTTGTACCTTAACATTGCAAAAGCGTCTCTTCTGTTTGCTGAGCTGAATGATGCTGATCTTCCAATGGTTTCCCTTTGACTATTAAGATATAGATCAGATATAAATGAAGCATTGTAGCGATATATAAACATTATTCACTGATCGATGTTAAATTGAACGGTTTGATAGGSAAGAGACAAACACCTCTGTAGCCTGTATRGCGGTTATATGGGATCGTAGAAAGAGGGRGATTCCCCTTATGRCTGTTACTCTAGCTACTCCCTATGGAGAAGTTTTTTAGCAATAGAAGTTGTGAAGTTAGGAACCAGCATATCAACACACTTTAAAAGCCAGTATTGGGCATTCGTCTTTTTCCTTTTAAAAATTGTACGTACCCTCTACTCGGAACGTGTTCGATGTCGATATTTGGTAACTCCATTTCCCAGATGGATTTTCTTCTTTCTCCCTTTGGAGAGGTTACACAGATTTTTGATGGAATTGGAGAAACAGCGGTAACGATTTTCGTAGGAGAACTAATTTCAGATACTTTGGTGTTCTTTATGGGAGCTGGTACCTCAAAGGAGGTGGTTTGTAGCGTTCTGTGTATTAAGATATGTATGGATTATTAACAATGTTGTTAATCACTATTCAGTTTCTTTTGTGTGCGAAATGATCTTCTGTTGTCGATATTCAGCAATCTTGTAGACTGTAATTACATTCAATATACGTTCAGCATGATTTTGAGTTGTATGTTGTAAGTTATTCCGCTTTTKTGGTGGTTTACTTTGTGGGTAATCACTATCGTATGTAGTACATCAGAATGCGTAAGTCACCACTTTCGGACGTATCTGGGTGTTTGCCGTAATCTCGGATTCTTTTGAGGTAAGAATTGCTCGTTCTGTTACGTTTTTGTTACGTTTTTGTTACGTTTTTGTTATCGTAAGTAGTCATCTACCTGTTGCTTTGCGGAAAATCAGTAAGAAACTGATAAGAGTGGCGAGCATCCAAAGATGTCATACTAAAGTCCTCTTCAAGTTTTCTCCTTCTTCTGTAATTACAATAATTTTAATTGACCATTCGATAAGATTGACAATCCAAATAAGGTGCTTTCATGACATAAACGACGTTTCTTCCGTCGAATACGGCAGCCGTCAGTTTGAACGGACCAATATTGATAATAACATCAACATAATGTTGGATGAGATACTGATGATAAGGCTTTATTACATGCTTTATGTCTTGTGATACTTACATCTTACGTATACACATGCGAACCAGGAATATCATGGAAAGCAGCAACGCTACCCCAATGATGGTAAAGATGGAAGACTCGTACGCCACCATTAYCGAGTTACTTGATGAATCATGTTCTACTGTACTTGCTGTTGTACCGACTTAAAAATATGAGAAATGGTTTAAAGAATTGAGTTAATTTACGCTGATAGTGCGAAGAACTGTGATATACATTATGTGTGAATTTTTCAGTCAGCTTACAGCGATGTTGTTCAATTGTTAGCTGGTATAGGCGAAGCACTAGTTTAGCTCAGAGAAATTATGCAGGAAAGTAATTTATAAATTATCTTTTATTTACCATTTTTCAAAGGGCGTAGAGCGTCTGGTTTTTGTACTATATGCATGTTGCTGTTCAACTCTTCGTTTACATCGCTTGTCGATGATCCATAATGATCAAAATACTGCTGTGGTAAAGCTGAAATACAACGACGATGATCATGATTAGCATTATTCTATTCTTCGTCCAGTCCAGTCCAGTCCAGTCCAGTCCACTCTTTCAATTTTTAGTCTCATTTTTTACGTATATATAGAAAATTACTAAGCGCATTATATATATTTTATTATTATTATTGTTATTATTATTCATTGTAATTTATAGCCCTATAAGTCTAATAAATTATTTTATCATATAATTATCTATGAAATACCTATAATTCTCCATTTGTTGATGTTTTACTAAAATAACATTATTTTCACTAGTTATTTTATAGTAAGAATATCAATTTTCACTAGTGAAAATAACACATTTGAGGTTTCTCTATATAGTGGAAGTAAGGTATTTTACGACAACATTTGCTTTCATATTGAATTATATGATAAACAGAATATTACATGGTCGCTTGGATATACGAATTTTATCTTCTCGTGTTGAAAATCTCTCACAAGTTCGCTACGCTCACTCGTGAGAGATCTTTTCAACACTCGAAGATAAAATCCGTATCTGCGCGCGCCCAATATCGCGCGCGTAATATCCTCTATATCAACTATTATTACTGACAAAAATGTGCCAACTGACAGTCAAAAGTAATTGATGTTTTCAATTCCCTTTTAAAGTTGCTGGAAATGGTACTTTCTTGGCCTTTGAGTATAGTTCCTTYCCTCTCAAGGGTTCGGYACATAAAATCAACAACACAACCTCACTCAGCATATTCAGTAAAGAAAAATAGTCTAAAAAATAGACCCGAAATTAATGTTTTTAAAATCGATATCGAGAGAAATGGGTCGAGCTGACTTTGATTGTTGTACAATAGAAATGTTAAAAAAACTGTTACACAGTTTACAACTTTTCACTGTCGTATCAGCCCTGGTTCATTAGAGAGTTTGGCGTTTGCAGTAAACGTGAATCTAAAACTCTCTGTTATGTTCATTCGAACATTTACTTATATGTAATAAAATATATTAGCTTGGATATGACAATTTCTCTCTACAGTAACTTACCTTTTTCAACAAACGTACATAATAATAGAATTATGGCAAATGGCATTACTGTAAAATTTAAAACTCATTATCTACGGGTAACTCAAACAAAAAAAACACATTCCAAGTTGAATTCATCATGACGTTCTAATTGGGTTATGACGTCTATAATAATAATATAATAATGACGTTTATGACGTATATTTAACTACGTCACATCAGCTCGCGCGATAAATGTGTTACACGTGTTTTTAAAAACAGTAACGAAAATCGGCCGTTTTTTTTCCTGGAAAGAAATAGATATATGTTATTTACCAGCTCTCGTAACGTTTGATGTTTTTTACTAGTTTGTCGAATTTAACGGTTTAGTAAAGAATAACGGCGCGTTCACTGGATTTGTTTTTAGTATCGAGTTGTTATTCACTCGCGCAATCGATAGAAATTCGGTCGTTTTAATATCAATTACATGACAAGATACCGAGCAGAAACCGAACATTTAGACCCCAAAGCATTTATTTTGCTTATGTTCAACGCTATTCTGGCGTAAAAGTGAACACACAAAGTACAATAGGAAATAATTATCAGCAGATACTAATATTATGTAATAATTTATTACTTTATATTAACAACTTTAAAAGTGACATTTTGTGCCAAGTTTGTGACAAATTGCTCCGTTAATAGCTCTTTAATTTGACATTTTTTTGTAAGTTTGACTTGAATAATTTCTAAACTAGTTTTCTTGATGTTTCTACTTGTCATCTTTATTTTCACTCATAAAACTCAAAGGCTGGAAAAAGAGAAGCTCCAGGAACAAGGAGGTCGGCCAGGAAGTACAAAGTTCCTGCCATACCTGGAACACAATTTATCAATACTTCAGTAAAAAGAATTTATTGATTGAATGAATGAATCTAAGATCTTGKCTCCTCTCRGCTGATTACACCATGWCARCATGTTGTCCCACTTACCTTCAAACAATGAGTAAGGTGTGTCTGGTATCCGACAGCCATGTTTACCACAGTCAAAACACCACTCTGCAAACTGTTTGCAAGGATTGAAAAATAAATACAAGTTAGAACTATTGAATAATAATGTAAACATAGAAACTTCCATTTCAACTATTCAAAAACAGTTTTTTCTGCCTCACTGGAAAGTACAGAAAAAAAAACGTTTTTGAATTACTGAATTGCCTGCGATGCTAGAATGCCTAGTGTTGATGATTTTATTTGTGCTGGTGTTGAATTGTGGTTTGTCRAGTGAGAATGATAGTGAAAAAAGAGAGTAACAAGAGTTTCTCCACACCTTTTGGCTGCGATAAATGTACTTATCAGAGTTGGTTGATTTGTAAAGACCAAGGAAGGCATAWGCATTGCCKGAMACACCATGACATATCCCATAGCCTTTCCTTAAAAGACCACGTTTCCAAATCACCTCACCACACTTAAGACCAGCTGTTAGATATTTGTCTTTACCAAAAACCTTGAAAAAATGCAAAAAAAAAAACACAGTTACTAATAAAGTTTTCTCTTTCACTTCTTAATTAAATAATCTTTTATAAATACTGTGTACCCAAAGACAAAGAAATTCTCTCTTGTTCTTTTTTGCTTTTCTTTCTTCCTTTTCTTAGAACCCTTTCTCACGTAAACCAGCTTTGTAATTTGAACTAGYATCTATAGCGGGCATCGCCCTGAATARTCTTAACTAATTGCRATACCCGCTAACTACTCATGGTGTAAGCTCTTATTTATTGTATTAAACTTGAACTTGAAACAATAAATAATTACAAAAGGAAATCAAATGAGATATTTTCTGCACCTTGTGTGCTTTAAGCATGAGGTGAACTGCCCCTGGTGCCCCATGACACCAATGGATAAGTTTATCTGACTGGTTTTCAAGAGAYGAATGAAAGTTACCAGAAGAAAATTGCTGTGTTAACAAAAACTCAATGCTTCTTTCAATGTCTGCAAGGCTTGATTGGACAGCTTGACATGACCTTGCCTGTTGAAGATATTGTTTGGAATTTATCATGTAGTGGCCAGTTGTATAGAGGKGGAATAGTTCTAACCACCAAATATATCCTTATACAGAGGACAAAATCCATGCAAAATCTATGAAGTGGATAAATTTAACTTTTTGTACGACCCCTTGCGAAGTGTATTTTTCCAACCTTATCCAATTCATTAACAATTCATAAGGTAAACACAATGGAAAATCATTGTCGTGGCCGCATCTTTATATGAGCAAGAGATTTGTCCTGATTTGCATACGACTTAACTTTGATTTTCTCTTACAAATGATATTTTATCCTGAAATTTTGTGGAATATGCTTTASCTTATGTTGGAATTTGATAAGCAATATAAAATATTCGCRTCTGACCTTTATRGGYTCTAAAACTGCTYGCTTAMAGCTCACAGTTTTACATGCCCAYAARGGTCTCMTGCTCATATWTTATATATTACATACAATTCATTACTAGTACAATGCATGTTGTAATTATAAAATAAAGTGGTGTTAATGTGTCATACCTGTAACAGCATATACAGAATTCCTACAATACCATGTGCTGCRCCAACATAATGCTTTCCATGCCACATGTACATGAGTGGTGAAGCTTGTCTTTCTTGTCTAGCTAGTCTTTGACCAGATGCT